ATGACTGATTAATGCTTTCTTTAGTTCATCATGGGTTTTACTACTGGGTAAATTAGGAACCAAAACATCTTTAAGCACACTATAGGCGTCTCCACCAATCAAAGTCAACAGTAAAGCAACCTTTTTATTTGCCATTACGTAACACTCAAATAGCTGTTCCAGTCTCTCCAAATACGAGGAAATATCGGTTTCTTTTGCATTAAAATTCTCTATTGATCCAATGGGGTACTATACAAGTTATTTTTAACTACTGCGTAGTGATATACTGGACGTATCGTACTATTTAGTGTTATCAGTTGCTTTGTAAAAATCGCAATACACTGGAATTTTGTCCTTTAAATTTCCTCTTAGCCCCGCCTCTACTAGCTACGTGAAAATAAAAGTTCGTGACGTAGTTAGTTTTTCCAATCTGGCAACACATCACGGTTTTGAGAACGCACAATTTGCACTGACAGAGAGATATCGGTAATCCAAATAGTGTCATGCAGTCAATGAACTATAGCCAAAAACTGGAATGCGCACACATTGCCATATCTGCCAAAAAAATGTAGCCATGAAAGACAGATGCCATAAGGGGGAATGTTGTTTTTTTTCTGTTGCTCGCTGACATATGACGTTTTCGAAAGATTTGTCATATTTTCCTTCACAGGTTTCATCAATTGGAATACGTGTTGGAAGCAATTTCCGCCATTTAACATAATGAGTGCGACAGAAACAGGTATCCCCTCCGCAGCAGCGGCACTAGGCTTCACGTTCGTCAATATGTGTACGCATTCCAGTTTTTGGTTATAGTTCATTGCATGCAGTATTAGCGCCTACGTTATTTTGACATTAAACCTATGCGCGATTCGATTTTTAACACTACGTACTAAAATAACGTTACCGCATAACGTAATTTACCCAGCATTTACGTTAAGCGCTATTTCGAATAACGCCTAAAAATAACGCCGTGGAATATAGGTTATGTTATGTTTATTGTTTATTGTTTATTTTATTATTTTTGTTGTGTTCAAGTGAATATGGTTATTCAAAAAATAGTAAAAAAGCAAATCCTCTGTCCCTGACCATAAACAACAGACAACACAAATCACAAACACCACACGTCGTTGAACCAGTAGTCAGCTGTTGTTTAGAGGCATTTTGAGCAGCGTTGCCAGATGGTCAGCGGCTCAAATACTATTGGTCGCCGCTGTAGCGCTAAATTCAAATTACAGTTTGTTTTTCTCTGACTAATTCTATAGACACTATGCTAGAAAATAATTTAGTATCCCACTATACCATCACCATTTAGCCTATAGAATAATGTCGAGCAGTTTTTTTATTGATTTTCATACATAGTATACTACCCATACTACCCCATTAGAGCCCTAATTTTTTTGACAAAATTTACTGGTACTTTGACACTTTAACAAAGATCCGTAATTTGACACATTTGACAGGCTTAACTTGAATTTAAACCTCAGGGTGTCTATTCTCAAAACCATGGAACAGCGTTCTCATGAGAATGAAGGTTCTGTCTTAGTCGCCCATGTTTATATTTTCATAACACTGACAAAGGCAGAGCAATTGTTCTCGTGGAAACTGTTCCCCGATTTCGAGAATAGACACACTGGACACAAGACACTGCTCGTATGGATACTCCATTCGTCGCCAAATTATTGTGTTTATTTATTTAGGTTTGGGAATGATTTTAGATTTAGTTCAAACAAAACTCTTTATTAAATTGACAATCGAGGTGACAACGTTCTGTGGTGACAACACACAGCCCATGGCAGAACCCATACGCCAACCAGACACTTCTGTATCGCCAACTCAATCATCATTTCTAATGAATGCTATTTAAAACAAAAATACATAAATAGATGAATGTGGAACCTTGGGGATATGAGCCGGAAATATTTCAAATTTTGATAGTCAATGAACGTCTCGAAAAGCTGTTTAAAAGTCCAAATTTTCATTATTGTTTGATATCATGGGATAAAAGATTCAAAAATAAATCAACCACTACCGCACTACCTCAACCCAATAAGGATCATCTTCGAATTCCACAAGGGATTTTTCTAGGACTGTATTATCCAAGGCGTATTTGGCTTTTTTATCTTTTTTCACTCTTTCGGAACAACTAAAACAATTAATTTAAAGAATATGTGGCAAATTTGACATCGTTGAACCATTTGCAAACCCATGTGTAAAAATAATGCTAGAAACAAGGGCCGTTTAAAGGGGGGGGGAGGGGGGGTAGAGGGGGTAATTACCCCCCCCCCCCCCCAGACAAATATTTTTTGTAATACATTTAATAATTACAACAAAATTTCAACAAAAGACAAGTTCTAAAAAGTAAAGCATTAAAGGCATTGTATAAAAAAGGCTTACGAGTATCGACGTATACGTACCATCGTCACCAAAAGTAACTGGGACAAAAATAATTCATATTTTTCTCCTGGACTATTCCTCGAAGTTGACCTAGATAAACCTAAATTTATTCATATTTTGTCAAATACCTGACATCTGAAGTTATATAATAGTACAAGAGCTAATATGATGCTGTCTTAGTTACTTTTGGTGACGATGGTATCTACTACTATACAGTGAAAAAAAGGCTATTCCATTTGAAAAAAAATTAGTTATGGTTGTTTGGAATGCCTGGTTTTGTGTACAGTATTGCGAACACCCTGTAGAATTTTACCAGATTTTCATATAAAATAACAAAGCTCTGACGCATACTTCATTTATACAGAGCACCGTGTATATTCAAAAATATTTTTAACTAATTAGATTGATTCTTGGGTAGCCAGGAGAAAGACTGTTTTAATTCCTAACCCACCGTTCCTATACCCAAAAATCAATCTAATTATGTATCAAGGAGACGAAATCTCACCAAATTTTTAACTACCTAATGCTCCTAGACAGTCTAACAACTCTGTAATTAATTAATTTTTTTTTCTTTCATCACCCTATATAAGGATATATTGTTTCAGTCCGATATCGCACTAAGTGGACACCCTGTACAACTATTTTGACAGCATCGGGATCCGGATACATTTTTGCCCGAGGCGTGTTTTAAACGACTTTTGGGTGCAAATTGGTCGTGGCACCCAAAAAAAAGGCGGGGAGCCTTTCCACACTTCTCGGTTTTCCCGTCATCCGTTACCCCGTCATTCAAAGTCTAGATGTAAAGAGCAGCGGAAAATTGGAAAATGATAAAATTCCCTTTTCATTTCTTATAACGGGATTTTCTCTCTGGAATTATAGTATCCAACCTGATTATTAGAAAAGTCGTAATTATTATTTAAATATTTAACAACAAATTTTTTAAGTCTTATATTATGTTGTAGAATTTATACAACTATATTAAATTCTCTCAAGAGAAAAGTAATCCCAATTCCCTGGATACATTTCCTTTTGGAATTACATAGGCCTCAACCAGTAGGCCGCGGGATTTATATTTCCCATTTTCCAAAAGGGCATTTTCCTCTTTGTGCAAGGAAAACCCGACCGATCCGTTTCTGCATTAACGTGCCGACGGGATATCGATCGCACGAAAACCTGGATCGCTTTTCCCACCACCACCAGTAACCGACTGAACTTTCCAGCTTTCGCAACACATACGGTCTTATTCGGCTCTTTTGTGTTTACACTCGTATAACGCGAAGTTTTCTTTTTTTTTTTTTTTTGGTGTTTGTTTTCCGTGTCGTAAAGTGGCCTTTTTTATGTTTTTCGAGTAAGAGTTGGTCAAAGACAGAGCATGAGAAAAAGTGCTTTAAGTACGAAAAGCAACAAGGTCTACAATCCTAATATTTTAGAAATAACAGGTGACAAACTTAGCCTTTTGATACCGGAAAAAGCACAAACATCTAAGAAACTAACCAAGAAAACGATAAAAATCGATTCTGCCGACCAAGAGGAGCCTTATACCATCCAGAAGCCTTATTGCCAGATCCACTCCAATCATGTTCAGCTGAACAAATCAAATAAGCAATACTACAACAAAAACTACTTGAAACCATCAATTACCGAATACAAAAACACGGAAATTTCGAACAAGGTGCTGAGACAAATTAGGGAAACCACTAAAGTTGAGGACTTTGAACGGATTCTTCAGAAACTGACCCTAAGCGATACATTTTTAAACGGAAAGAGTTATTATTGCAAAAATCAACGTGACCAAGTATTGGAAAATTTGGAGGCCGAGGATTTGTACCAGGAATTTTTCGGGAAACATTACGATTATTTAGCACGGGTAGTGAATGAAGCCAGTAGTGAAGAATCAACCTAAAAATACGTATCCATAATTTTGTGTTTAGAAATTATTCTGTGATATTTACCTTACAGGGTGTTTCCGTTTGTTGTCGCTTTTTATATCTTTACAAAAACAAAATATCATTCATAAAACCTTGTTAATTATTGTTTGATGTTTAATAATTACCGAGCAGCTACTCGTCGACAATTATTTTGCAAATTTCCAAGTCAGTCGTGAACTTATGTTTGTCGACTAAAAACATTGGCGAGAGTTATTTTTCTTTTAGTCAACAACGTGGCGCCAAGCGAACAAGATCACACTTGCATTTATTTTTGAACATCAGTCGCGTAATTAGCCAACAACAAACTCAGTTTGCGATAAATTTGTGTTTTAACTTCTTCAACAACGGCACCCAATTTGCCAAGTATGGAGTGCCGCGGGCCTCCAACAGTAGTACCGGCGTCGGTACCGCCCCAAATCAAATCCAGAGAGCTGGACCGGAAAGTGCTGAGGGAAACTTTGTACTCGGAAATATTCCAGAGGCACCGCAGGTCGATATTCGCCCTCGGTTCGTTTTTGAGGATGCTGAAGACCAAAAAGTCCAATTACAACGTCATAAAACAGGAAGGAGAATCGGAAACTGAATAGCATTTTAGTTTTTCTGTGAGTGAGTGCATCATGTGAAAATCCTTTTAAAGGGTATGTAATTATTAATTATATAAAATTGATAAATACCTACAGCAACTTTCCATAAAATGTATTATTGGAAAGTTGAAGGTAAATTATTTTTAAAGAAAACATTGAAGCTGGTCTGAAAAATTAGTATTAATTAATTGATAATGCATTTTTTTTTATTTTTGTAAATGCCAAGCGACCAATTTTTTTAAGTGTGGTGCAGTGTGTTCCAATATTAATATTTTTATTGATTGTAACAATTAGGATGCACCATTTTTTTTGCACTAGCTTGAAAATTGCGGAGCTATATTTATATGGTACACGTTTTATATTGTAGATATAATGTAGTTGTAATGTAAAAAAAATATGGTACTGAATTGAGTTGTATAGGCTTTTCTATGTTATTCACTGGCCAATCTAGTTAAGGTCTGACACGTTTTTCAATTTTTTCATGTGCCTAAAAAAGTGCCAAAAATGTTTGTAGTTTCAATTTTTTTCGATTGTTTGAAGAATTTTTTTATCAGAAAATTTTGTAGAAGAAAAAATTTCTCATGACTTTTAGGTAGGTAGGTAGGTACTCATGTTTTTTTTTTTTTTTTTTTTAAATATTAAATATTTTTTTGAGCAAGTACCTATATGGTCTATTTATTTATTTTTTTAAATTATTTTAGCGGGAAGTCTAATCTATACTTGAGTTTTAAAAACTGACTTTCATAAAAAAATATTTGAAAATTCAAATTCTGAGAGAGCAGGTTTGTCATTAAATGGTTACTACAAAAGTTCAATGCATTTTTCTGAATCATCAAATTTTTTTGGCAAAAGTTCAAAAATATATCTGCAAAAGTCGGATTTTTACAGGCACGTGGTGAACTTTCCAAAATTTTAAATGCCCCGTATTTAATAAGAGACTAAAAATAAATGCATCATTTTGCTATGGGTATGTCTTCTCGGTAAACACATCTGTTACATGTTACATTTACTTAAAATTTTAATATATTTGAGATCATTTTTTTGCCAGCACTAGATTCATGTCAAGTTTATGTAAATAATATGTAAACTTAAAGTTTGTAACTGTCTGTATGTTATGTTTACATAACTGAATAGTGTAATATGTATGTACATTTTATAGAAAATTTGGAATTTTGTTGACTCGGTTGGGAAACCAGGAAAGATATCGGCATTTAATTGTAATGCTTAGTTGGTGCTTCAAAAAAGGTTATTTGGGGCACCGCGCCCTAGTGCTTCGTTTTTGAGATAATCGGCTTTGAAGATTTTCTAAAATTTTAGACAAAGTTTCCACTTTGAGGTTCAACATCTCGAAAACTATTCGAGATAAATGATTCAATTTTGTTTTATCTTAAAGATCATTTGATTCTCACTAAGAATATATAAATACGTATTAGAATTTGTGGAATGTCAAATGGATTATGGGCGATTTTGTGAGCCAATGACGAATGATCATAATTTTTCAGGATAAAAAATGCAGAAATCATTTTTAATTTTTAACAGGGCTCAAAAACTCGAAACAGTGTTGCCAGAGATCAAAAATTTTTTGTACCAAAATTAAAGAAAAATTGTACCGGGCTCGTATAGCCTAGGCCCTTCGGGCTAGTAACGTAATTAAAACAACACCGGCCATTCAGGCTGGAGATTTGAAAAAAACATATGGCAATACTGCTTAGAATACAACAAACGTTAAAAAATTGACGTTTCAAAGTAGGCCTTGTTTTTTTTAAAACTCGATACAAAATGGCGTTTCTTTGTTGCCCTGTGGGCTCAAGGCTGAAAACACTCTCGCCCTACGGGCTCATGATTAAAAAAAAACGCCATTTCAATCCTCTAGCGTTACAGTGTTGCCAAAAGTTTCAATCAGCCGACAACATCATAACAATCGTTTCTTGATGTCAATTGCCACTTGTCAACGTTTTACATTTACAATTACAAAAGCTCCAAAATTACTGTTAAAATGTGGCAACGTTGCTGTTATAGGCCTCAATCTGAATCACAAGGCTGTCAATTGACAAAAAAAGTCGTAGGTAGTCCTGAAAAAATTAACTCGTAAATTGTCAAAAGTCATAATAAAATTGTATGTAGGTTTGTCAGTTGTCAAAAAAAAAATTGAATAATTATTCCAAGTGTTTGAACCGGAAACAATCGAAAATTTACTCTGATGATAGTTTGGCTCGACTAACTGATCATTTAAATTATTTCCTACTTTATCTCGCTCTTTGTCCTACTCATTTATAATAGCTTTTGGTTTTTTACTAATGTATCCTACCTTATCTTCTTCTTTGTTTAACTCACTAAAATCTGGAAAAACATTATGTTTGAGATTGTAATTATGGCAACGTCGCTTTTGATCAAGTAGATCTTGTAATGTAATGTCATTTGGCATTTTTGACAGTCGGCCATTTTCGAGTGTTTTTATCCAGTTTCTCCTCGAATTTTCCACTTTTCCAGGCCGGTTTCGATCGGGAAAACTGTTAATTATATGCGAGCCCGAAGGGCCGGAATTATACGCGAGCCCGAAAAGCCGGAGTTATACGCGAGCCCGAAGGGCCGGAGTTATACGTGAGCCCGAAGGGCCGGAGTTATACGAGAGCCCGAAGGGCTGGAGTTATTTTAATCACGGGGCCCAGTCTATAATTCTATTGGTCAGCGGATAATTTGGAGCCAATCAAAAACCGGGAATATTCAAAATGCGATTTTTAGCGCCCAATCAAAGAGCCGGGAATATTTAAAAACTTCAGATTTATCAAATTGACTTTGGAATGTTGGTTTTCTATTAAGTTTTCCTAAAATTTTCACTTTTTTCAGAAAACGGTGGTTTTTGCAAACATATATTACTCTATCGTTGTCTTTGTCTTACTCACTATAATCAACAAGTAAACCTTGTAATGTCATTTTCATTGAAATTAAACTAAAAACAAGTTTCCGATGCTTTAGCTAAGGAATTTTAATTATTATAATCATTATTTAATAATTATTTAACAATTTTTAATTGAATTTTAAACAAAAAACTCATTTTAAATGTTATTTTTGTTTTCCGAGATGTAATGTGGCAATGTTGCTTTTAGTCGGCCATTTTGAAGTGACGGCTTGTGATTTTTTGCGTGCTTTTCCTCAAACTTTCGACTTTTCTGGGGATTTTTAATGGAAAAAAGCGATTTTTTGAGTTTTCTTCATTTTCTAGCAAAAATTTTCACTTTTAAATGCCATAATTAGCAAAATTCCATTTAAAATGCTTTTGATGTGGCAACACTGCTTGTGGCTAACTTCAATCAAGGAGGCCTTGTAATAAATATCATTTGTCATTTTTGACAGTTGGCCATTTCCATTTAACGTGTTTACATTTTTATCCAGTTTTTCCTCGAGTTTTCCACTTTTCCGGGCTGTTTTCGATCGGAAAAACGATTTAAAGTACGAGGTTTTGAGTTTCCTTCATTTTGTATCAAAAATTTTGAGTTTTTCAACGGGGTAAGTAACAAAAACTTAAGTTTCATCAAGTAGGCTTTGGAATGTCATTTTTCAATAGTTTTCCTTTGGATTTTCCACTTTTCCGATCAGGAAAACCAATTTAAAGTACGAGGCTTTGAGTTTTCTTTATTTTCTGCCGAAAACCTAAACTAAACACAAACTACTTCAAATTTAATCAAAAATTTTTGTTATTTCGAATTTGGGATACAGAAATACAAGTTAATTAGAACATCGACATTAGACTAAGTAGGCAGTAGGCCAAGAGTCTTTGAGAATTTGGAAAAAATAAAAAAATTGAAAATTGTAGCAAATATGCCAACGTCGTACCAGCGTACTTTTTCAAAACGAATGGTACCAAACCTCGTACAATTATTGTACCACCTCTGGTAACACTGCCTCGAAAAGAGAAATCACGAAAATGCTTTTCCTCTAAATTTGATCCCCTCTTTCGATCGTTGAAGTCAAAAATTAAAAAAATTCGAAAAATCAAAATTGAATTGTTTCTAAGGAGATGTATGCAAGGAAATTTCATTTTCAAATAATTAAAAGGGCTATATTGTAGAAATTAGAGAAGTTAGAGGCACGAAATCTTGTCTATTTATAGATCTCGATTGGAACTTCAAAAAAGGTTATTTAAGGTACCGAGCCCTAGAGTTTCATTTTCGAGATAATCGGCTTTGAAGATTTCCAAAATTTTAGTCAAAGTTTCAAGTTTGAGGCTCAACATCTCGAAAACTATTTAAGATAAATGATTCAATTTTATTTTATCTTGAAGAGAATTTAATTCTGATTAAGAACATTTAAATATGCATTCGAATATTTGAAATTTCAAGTGAGTTATGGGCGATTTTGTGAGGCAATGTAGGATGATCAAAATTTTCTAGGGCAAAAAATGCAGGACATTATGCGTTACATTTAAGTGAAATTTTACGTTATTGTAACTTGGAAATTATATAATTAGGTAAACGTAAATTTCAACCATAAAATAATGCAGCTGTGTTTACTGAGTTTAGTTCACCAATTTTTCAAAAATATTAAGAACAAGGTACAAGCAAACTGTATAAATGCAAAAAAAATAATAATTCAAAAAATGACCGAAATACCTAATTACAGTGAATTTTAGTTAATGTAAAATTTACCATTAAAAATGTGTCTTTCTCGAAATTAATGTAACAAAAATCCCTCTCTGAGCCAAATACATGCAGCATTTATATGTAACGAGTAGATTTTCTAGAATTAGAATCCAATAACAAACTAAAAATTATATTCGACTTAAATATTTGAACATTCCTGCTTCAGATCCAAAAAATTATATTATTTTATTATATTTTAATATATGTAATTAGATTGGTTAGAATCACGTTGTATAAAAATCACAAGGGTGCGCTTCATAAGTACATAAAAGAGGATAAATAAATTAATTGTAATATTTTTTATTTTTGTAATTTAATCGGAACCGTTCGTAAATTAATGTCCACAGATTTTATTTATTTACTTCAAAATTGTTATCGTCATAAAACACAAACGTCTCGTGTTATCTTTATGGCCAACAATTTTGTTTTCTTGAAACCAAACTTATTTTGCTATTTATTATAATTATGTATTGCAACATGTATTTTTTTTTATAGGAATTTAACATATACACAGTGGATACATACT